TGCTAAATCTCACCCCCGGTTCCTCGATCCCGATAAACTACCACTCTCTCTTCGGATCTCACGATGATATACTCCTCCTCGAGGTCGACGACAAGCTCCTACCTGATCTCATCAACAACCGGTAAGCTTAACCCCCTCCCTTCTCTTCGTTATCTTTGTAGCACTAGTTTGGGTTTTCATTATTTGATCGATTTCGAATCCGCTTTTTTTTTTTAATAAGCTTCCAGCTGATTCAGAATATTTGATTGCTAAGCCGGAGTTGTTGTTTTTCTTGAAATCTTGTGTTTTTTAGTTGTTAAGCTCCATTTTAGTTGATTTTGATATACTGGGATATTTAGGCCTTGTTCTTGTGTTAATACTAATTTAAAACGAATATTAAAATTGAATTATTCATCTTAATCAATTGATGAGATACGGTCAATAAAATTGTATAGAGTCTTTTCTACTCGTTATCAAATTTGATAATCATGATTATGCTATTGAAATTTAATTTTTCCGGATTAAATCGTTAGAACGAATAAAATTAGAAGTTTACTCGTAAAGACGGATTTTTTTTATCACTTTACTTCTTCATTTTACTCGTAGCACGATAAAGCCCCAGTGACAGGATTAAGAATTAGAAGGATATCTGGAAATCAAATTTTCTCATACCATGATAGAAGTACAAGTCGAATTGAATTTGCAGTCGGTTCGTGAGTAGAAGTAAATGCTGGTTGCATATCGTAGTTCAGATACAGAGTGTAGAAATGGCGAACATAGCGACGAAGACCGCAGGAAAAGTCGAAGAATGACATTTGGGCGTCTGGCGGTCAACCGCGAGTGGAGCGGCGGTCGACCGCAATGTGCACGCAACAAGTGGAATGGACTTCTGGATTTTTGCGGTCGACACAATGGTTTGCGGTCATCGACGCGCTAACCCTGGAGTTTGGCGTTGGCCTCTGTACTTTTTTGCGGTCTGACGCGAATGGCTCCGCGTGAGCCCGTAGCGGGTATTGGCATGGGTTGTTTTCCAGACCCGTTTCGTTGTGGCTTGCTATATAACCCTAAACCACGTTTTAGGGTTAGTGCAAGGTAGAATTTGAAGCAGCCATTGAGAGGGTTTATTGTCTTCTTTAGAGAAAGGATTTTTGGAGAGATCTAGAGAGCTTGTTTTGAGGTTTTTGGTGAGATTTTGTAACCCTATTTGTTTCTTTTGATCTCTAATAGTATAAACTCTCCCCCCCCCGACCCCTCGCCCCTCCCTCCTTGCCCCGTGGACGTAGGCAACTTGCCGAACCACGTTAAAATCGTTTGTTTGTGTTGGTGCTATTGTTTTGGATAGTTTGGCCTTCTTGATCGGCGTTTGTGTTTGTTCTCGGCAATTCCCAATACAGAGATCTTCTCAAAATGGTCGACAAGAATCATGGCTTTAGAATCTTTCTGACACTAGTCTCAATGCCTATATATCACCCCTGAGCCTTCAAGTTGGAGCTACTAAATATGGAGAAAAACTTGTTTTTGACTTATCTTGTGTGCTTTTACATGAAGAATCAACACTGAGTTGTTTGTAGCATGAGAACTAGGCATTTGGTTTGGGCCTGAGTTAGATTCCAATTTGATCGAAACCTGGAACTGTCTAGTTCTAGGTATCTAAGGTGTCTAAGACTGTTCTTTGCGTTCTGGTTGGTCCCGGCTTTATGACCTGCATGGGTTGGATTCCTGAGCAGTCAGGCTTCATCACCGATCATTCCTGTCATTCATTCTAGCTAATAATTGCTGGAGACAAATTATGCAGTTTCTGAATTAAGTTGTTGGTTCATCTTAATGATAATGTCTTGTTTATAGAAGCACACATGTTTTTTTTGCCTCTTAATTTGCTTATTTTTCAACTGACTCAGTGTCACCCTGAAGTCTTCTGTGTGAGTCATGAAGCGGTA